ATTATTAGATGTAGATCTTATGGTGTCGTAAAACCAGTACTGAGTCCATGTGTTATATTATTAATTTACTTAATTGGCCATTGAAGACGTTAGTCACCCTTCGCTGCATCTAGTGGCCTACTATGACCAGTGTAGTGCTATCATATCCTTAGTCTCCTAGTTCTTCGACCGAAGTTCCGGACAACCCCTACCGCGTTTTCCTTCAGTAGGTAGTGAAGAAAACATCTTTTTAGCAGGACCACTTTCTGGTCACTTTCTGGTTTTTATTCGCACGACATGACCGATCCAACGGAGCCACTCAATTTTTTTGCGCTTACCTCTGTCAATATCGTTGTGTAGCATGTACCTATAGTTCATAGTTTCAACTAATTCGATTTACCGCAAGACCTATTTGCTTCGCTTATTTTTCTAAGCTGACAGAAACCGCACTGACTGAGTAATATTATGAGAATAAATAATATTGAACATTTCGTTGTGTGATTATTATGTCAAAAAATTGTAAAACTATAACATTGGAATATACCTGTCCTATAAATAATATCTGTAAAATGGTGAAAAACGATATTGTATATTAAATTGTTGATATTAAAAACATCAATATTTAAAACTATGAAATTACAACTCATTTTATGTCTTATAAAACAATGCTCATATTTAAGTACTTCAAAGTATATAACATCCGTGGACGCTTTTGGTTCTATTAAAAGTAAATAGTTAATATCAATAATATAGTGAATCTGGCGCACTTATTTGTTTGAAGTGTTATTGAGTGTTTAGCTAATCGAAAGAGAAAGCCACCTACAATTATTTCAATGTTTGATACCTTCACATTATCATTTAATTGATTTTCATGATTTAGCAGACGTCTACTGGACTTTGATACTTCCAATACTTTTAGACAGATTTCGTTCAAATGCAGATAAACGAGTACACTTATGAAATGACTAGCGGTTATTACAATCAATTTGTTGTTATGGTCAGTTAATTGTAACTCTAGGTAGAAATTCATTAATTTATTTTTATATACAATGATATTTTCGGTAATCAAGTTACAAATGGTGTTACTTATGACGTATAAGCGAAATTAGCAGTTTAAGGTCAGTGGAAAACTAAGTCTTGCTGAAATGTGGTGGTTACTTCTAAAGATTGTGTGCAGTAATCTAGATATTAAAATTATATATGTCAAAACACTTTATATATATATATATTAAGTAAATAAACTCACAATGTATTAAATACCATAGAGGCAAAAAAATGCTGTTCAATATCACTAAAGTGTTATAATAAGGTTGTTGAAATTTTTTAATCCGGTTTAAAAGTGAAGGCATACCAAAAACTAATTTATTTATTGATAATTTACTCTTAAATATCGAAGGTATATTAAAAACCTAGTTAATTAATTGCTATTTCTATAAAATGACATGAAAAAAATTTCGCAGAACAGAATTAGCCAACTGACTTCAATGGCGTATTATACTCAAAAGGGATGGATCAGAATTTAATATAAAATTTTGTATATTCGTAGAAGTCGGCTTTAATTAATTATGAAATTATATATGATTATATATGAAAATTAAATGTATGCAATAATTTTGATAATTAAATTAACCTCCCGATCTATAAACTAATAAAATTACACATTCAATTATAAATTTTAAAATAAAACTATTACAAACAAAAAATTGTAAATTTTTTAATGTGTTTTTACACAATGATGCACATATTATATAAATCCTTAAACTTAAAACAATCTCATGTTACTTTATGATTCTAGATTACACCCTTTAATAGTAGTTCTAATCCAATCATTATAAAAAGCAACACTTGCAAAGACATCAGGAAAACCTCGTCCGCAGGGAATACCAAAATTGTTTATACCAACTAACTGTCCTTTGGAATTTATTAATGGTCCACCAGTATCACCATGACAAGCACCTTCTCCAACAGGTGACTTAGTACATACATGTCCCAAATCAACGTCATCTACATTACCATAAGCAGCCTTACAGTCCGTATTAGAAATATATAACACATTTAATTGCTTCAAATCATTTGGATAATTTGCACCCTCCTCATCCTCACCCCAACCAGTAAATGTAAGCGTTTCTCCAGGTACTAATTCATTTAATTCAGCAACTGTTATATTTTTTGTTACATCATCATAAGCAACCAATGTTGCTAGCTTGATGAGTGCGATATCATTGTGATAAAGTGGCTTATCAAAGTTGCAATGTATAATAATGTCCTCTACTTCGTATTGTATAGCTAAACCCATCCAATCATTCGTACCAGTTACTACTTTTATATTACTCTTCTGTAAGCCTCCCACACAACTGGCAGCTGTGAGTACATACTGATCGTCTATAATCGCACCTCCGCAGAAATGATTACCAAAGCGATTCTGTATGGATACTTGGAAAGGCACAGCACCGTTGGCAGCTACATGGCCACCCAATACATAGTTTTCTGTTTGAATACGACTTTGTCGTGGTACTGCTGGTGGTTTTGTATCCTTATACTTCAAACCGACATAGGAGGGGTCACCGTAATAACGCAAGGCGTCACTATAGCCAATAAAGGCTGTTAGTAAAAGAAGCGCGACAGATATATTCATTCGGTTGTACATAACGCGCCGATATTTAATAGTTTCTAAACTTGTGTACTTAATTTAATTTTAATTTATACTTAAATTTAAACTCTTATCAAGTTTTTATCAAATTGCCATTATTTAGTATATTTGGATAACAATTTTTATTGTTGTTGATAATATCAATTAGACCAATTAATTGTCTTATTATTATGACAAAAAATTTTGGCAAATTGATAAACAATAGTTCAGTAATATTGGATCAGTGTTGTAGGTAAGAGGATAATTTTTTAATTTATTTAATAATTTATTCTTGAAAAGTAATTTAAATCAACAGCAAAACGTAATTTATTATATTCATAATTTTTATTCATTAATATATTACTACCACTAATATAGCACTACCGTTTTCAACAGCTACTTTGCAAGAACTGATACCTCGTTAAAATGTTCTAATTTTTAAAGCCTTGTTTCTGAAGTGAATCGTTACCTGCTAAGTAAGAATTTATTACTCTACAAAAGATCTCTTCAAAAGTTTAAAATTTCGTAATATCCTTTTTTGTTCTTAACATCCGATTTTACTAGAATTCCAAATATCTGTTGTCTATCTACATTAAGACCGAAAAGTTTTCGGAAATTCTCATTTAAAATTCGCGCGCTGTATATTTTTCGATATTTTAAGTTTATGTAGTTTTGCAGCAATTAAGGACAATTACTATGCCAAAAATGAGCGCGATCTGTCAGACAGTTCGTTTACGGCAGCTGTTGAAACCAGTTCACCTCAGTAGTGCGTTGCGGAAAAAACAATGGAAAAAAATATTGAACAAAGAGTTTGCATCAAATTTTGTGTTTCGAACGAAATTTCGTGTGCAGAATCGTTGCGAATGCTACAAAAGGCTTATGGGAAATCAGTTTTATCGAAAACTCAAGTTTATGAGTGGTACAAAGCCTTTCAGGACGGTCGTACGACCGTCGAAGACATTTCGCAACGCACTACTGAGGTGAACTGTTCAACAGCTGCCCGTAAAACGAACGGTCTGACAGATCGCGGCTTCATTTGCATAGTAATTAAGGACAGTGCTGCCAAACTACATAAACTTAAAATATCGAAAAATATACAGTGCGCGAATTTTAAATGAGAATTTCCGAAAACTTTTCAGTCTTAATGTATTTGGAACTATATTACTTATTGAGATGTGTGTTGTTTCAAACTCCTATTCCGTGTAGTCATGTTCTAGAATATCACCGACATTAACAACTTCGGAAATGATTAAATAGTGAAGGCACCAAATACTACTTTAACATTACAATGATGAAACATAATTCATCATTCATCATAGGTTATACGTAGAAGACAAAAAAGTATCTGAAAACCAAAAAGGTTTTCCTTCAATGCAATTACTAATAAAATTATTTATATTTTTAAATGTGTGTTTTTGTTGTTGTTAATATTTTCTCATTCCGTCTTAATTATGTACATTTCAATATTATAAAATGGTAGTTATATGTCTTATCATATGTATATACTTATATGTGTCATACCTATGTGTACACTTATATGCTATTTATACAATATATCAAAAATTTGATAAAAGTTTAAAGCACTTTTATCTTATATTTTTATGATATAATGAAAAAACAACATATTTATAAGCTAATACTTTTCTCAAAATATTTAAAGAAATCTGGACCCATCATAAAAAATCAATAAATCGTGGTTTATGATATAAGGTCTAAATAAAGGTCATATATACTTGATATAGTACTTTGAATACTCACTATACCATAGTCTCACTGTACTATGGTGATTCTAATACATAGTGCTGTACTATGTACATAACTATACAGTATATACCTAGACAAATGGATGTATGTAAATATAAAAAGATATTTGAAATATGTGTTCTTGACTATATTATACTACACACTTTGAAACTTAACTATTTAGTATATGTTTAATATCTGGTCATTGTTTACTTTTTACTATTATTTCAAGAATTGGTCATTTTATGATAGTTTTTTGATAAACAAAAATTGTTTAAATATTTTATGCGCATAACAGTTTATTTTACATATCCTCCATTTTTGAGAACAATATCGTACAGTTCGTTATATCAAAGTTTAGTTCAATAAAGATTGTCTGGGCGGCAAAATGAAAATCCCATTTGATATCGAATAATAAAGTTTCGATACTGGTGAAATATTTTAACATAAAGTCCATTTATTATGTATAATATAATTAATTATAAAACGATAAAAGCACCAACCAGTAAAAAGTATGGGATTATATGAAATTCGCTAGAGTCAGGTACATAGTAGTTAATTGGGGCAATAAGCACTTTATATAAAAAGCATCGGAAAATGACCATTTACCCACATTACCGCTTGTAAATTTATTGTGTTTATAGCAAAATCTACACAAAAATTAAACGATAAATTAAAAATAAACAAAAGTAAATAAACAAAAAATGTTAAACAATGATCGGAAGAAATTTTACCTAAAACTGCTGACGGCATTGCTATGTCTCACCACCTCCAGCGCCAAACGCATACATGCCTCATACACTGGTACACATAAGCCTACAATGGACGGTCGCATAGTTGGCGGCGTTGTGGCGGCAGAAGCTTCAGCACCGTATCAGGTCTCGATACAATCTATTTTTGGTTCTCATTTGTGTGGCGGCGTTATAATTGACAATCAACACATATTAACTGCAGCACATTGTGTGGAAGACTATCCACTTACAATGTTGCGTATTATTGTTGGCACTAATAATTGGCAAGAACCAGGGGCAGTATTTCGTCCTGAAATGGCTACACCACATTGTCGACAAGACGATCCATTCTATCATAATGATATTGCTACGGTGAGATTGGATGCACCGATTGAATTTAATAATTATACACAAAAAATTGAAATCGCCGAGACATTACCTCAGCCGGGTGATGTTTTAACCTTAACTGGTTGGGGTAGTTTGAATCTTAATGAATATCCTCCCGAGAAACTAATGACATTAAATGTTACACTTATATCACGTCAGCAGTGTTTAACGGCCTGGGATAATGATGAAGGAGTTGGTATTGGACATATTTGTACTTATACACGTGCTGGAGAAGGAGCTTGTAATGGAGACTCTGGTGGTCCATTAGTTTATAATGGTAAATTGGTGGCTTTAGTTAATTGGGGTGCACCGTGTGCTATGGGTAAACCTGATATGCACGCAAATGTGGTTTACTATAGAGACTTCATAAGATTAGCGCTAACTCAATGCACAAGACTGAGAGGATAGTTGGTTTTAGTTTAAGAAGAATACAGTTTTACTAGATTTCAATATATGAGAAAAAACACAGTTCATATTTGTAAAATATTATTTCTAAATGAAAAGTTATGTGCAAATATTAAACAAAATTTTAATTTAATTTAATCATTTTTTTAAAAAGAATTATTAAAGACTGTTAAATAAAATATTAAAAATAAAATAAAATTATTAATTTAAATATTATCGATTAGCCTTTCATACAGTAGTGAATTGCAACAACAAAATTTTTAATTTATTTTTAATTAATTTAATTTCAAGCTATTTCTTGTAGTGCCAAGTACCCAACAGTAGTAATATTGAAATTATTTCTTATATTCAATTATTCGTAAATAATTTTTTTGAGATTACAACGAATTTAATTTTTGTTGTTGAAATTCATTACTGTTGAAAAACCTTTCTAATAAATAGAATAGTTTTTATTAAGAAAATAGAAAAAACAGAAATAATTGTTACAGTAATGATTCTGTTAAACAAATAGTCTTATAAATGTATATATCTCTCAACCATACAGTGTAGCTAGTTCTAGTTTTTATATTTCTTGCTTAGTATTATCTATTAGTTTTCTTAACCGGACAGAATGACTGGTCGCGACTGTGTTCGCATAATGGAACTTTAACTTTATTATATTTTCATTTGATATGAAAACCTTTGACTTATCTAAAAGGTTAACTATTTTGATCACGAATATTATAACAGATAATTTACCAAATTACAATAAGTACGTTTACTTAAGATATGTATTGTTATTATCTTCAGATAATAGCTTAAGACAATAATATGTTATGATAAGATATTATCGTTCTTACATATATTATATATTTTATTTATTAATGTAAAATAATGAATATAATTTTTAAAACTAAGTTGCCGCCAACGAAGATATTAAACATAAGCATACAGTATTTAAATGTCCTTTACGAATACTCCATAGAGTTGCTGAATGACACCAACTTATTTCATAAATATAATCAAAATATATATATAACACATATATCTATATTTATAGCATATATATCAACGTCTATGACACAAATCATATATCTAAACCCCTTCTTACTACGACTCTGTCTTTATAAACTTTCTTATATAATATGATATAGTTTTACAAAATTCCAAATTTTTCATTATCAATGTTTTTATAGCCTTATTTAGATAATATCAATATATACATAAAATTCTACAAGTCATAATTTTATCGAATATAAATCGTGTACTCGCACTCACTTATAAATATGGGTGCCCTTTGATATAATCATTTAGTTTCTTATTAGAGTTAAAAACGCAAATGAAGGTTCTCAAAATAATTTTCGCTATTTTATTAAGTGCTGGATTAGCACAGGCTATTAAGCGGGCAGAACCGAGCGCAGAACTTCTAGCAAAATTGAAAACTAAAAATATTGATATAAATGGACGTGTTGTAGGTGGTGAACAAGCAGAAGAGGGCTTTGCACCCTATCAGATATCTATACAAGGCGAATGGGATGGGCACATGTGTGGTGGTTCTATAATTGCCGATAAATGGATTATAACTGCAGCACATTGTGTCTATGGCTATAATCAACGTTATCTACGTATTATAACAGGTACGAATAAATGGAGAGAACCTGGTAAAATATACTTTCTAGATGAATACTTTGTGCACTGCAATTATGGATATCCTGACTATGCGAATGATATTGCTTTAGTACGTTTAAATGATTCTATTGTCATGAATGAATTCACTCAGCCGATACCTCTGGCTGATGTGCCTTTGGAAGATGGTGCTGATGTTATTTTAACTGGTTGGGGTAGTACTGGTGTGATTGATCCAAATAATTTACAAAAAATTACTTTGAAATATATGGAACATAATCGTTGCTTGGAAGCGTTTGATTATGATGAAAAATTAGATGTTGGACATATGTGCACATTTACGCGTGAGGGTGAAGGAGCTTGTTATGGTGATTCGGGTGGTCCTTTAGTCAGTGATGGAAAACTTGTTGCTTTAGTGAATTGGGGTTATCCTTGTGCTTTGGGTATGCCTGATGCTCATGCAAGCATACATTATTATCTCGATTGGATACGACGTACCATGTCGGGTTGCCCCACATGTCATTGTGTGACTTATGACTATCCTTTTAAATTTTAAGGAATTGTGATTACTAGAAATTGTTTATAAGTCATGAAACAAATGTTTTTTTTAATATAAAACTTCAATGTACTTTATTATGGAAAAATATATTTTTTAAGATAAAACATTTTTTTTTGATATATTCCTTCAGAACTTTAGAGTGATATCAGGTTATCAAGAAAACACATTTTTTATATATATTTCTTCAGTAACTGTTTTTATATATATTTCTTCAGTAACTTAGAGTGATGTCAGATTAAGCTTTAAGAGGCTAAATTTATATAACAACAACTGAAAAACAAATCAATAATACCATAAAATAAAAGAAAGTATTGAATATAGACTTTAATATATAATGTATATCATTTAATATTAATAATTAAAAACTATTTAAAAACGTTAAATATTTAAAGGCTTAAATTTGATTAATATAAAATTATTGAAAACTTAAAATTAGAATATTTCCAATATAAATTTGTTAAAGTTCATTAAATTTTGATTATTTAGTATTAAAGTATTTTAGATAAAAAATTTTGTTTATCTGCCTTTTTATTTCTAGAGATATGACTTATGAATTTATTGGAAATAATAGGTTTATATAATTTTAGTTTAATTATAGTTGGTTGCAGAGCCAAATTTGATAAAATGATTCTGAAAAATGGAAATTATATTATTAATATATTATCAACATATATCGAACGATTATGATCATATGAGTTCCAACTTACATGTTAGATATTGTATATACATATTCAATATCTCTAATTATAATATTATAACACATATTTATGTATTTATATACATATTTATAATAATATTTAATTTATAATGTTTATTTTTTCTTGCCGAAAGTGACGCGTCTTTATGACGAAAAGAACTATTTAAAAGTTAGACAGATTCGAATAGCAAAGAAAAGACAAGGACAACAATTTTTTTTCATTTATTGAAATTTGGTTGACCATACAACGCTGTTTCAAGCATTGTCAAGTACTCATCATTAGTGGTCTTAAGAAATATTCGAATTTCTTAATTAGTTTATAGTCTTTATATAATTTGTTTGGAATGCAAGTGCCGGGCTTAGAACACGTGACTGTCGAATATTTAATTTATTTTATATACCTATTTTATATTCGGATACAAGTTACCTTTTTGTTAAAATTAAACGTTTGTTAAATATTTTTAATATGTTTTACTCTCTGGTGCAATAGAAACAACAGAATATAGAACATGATTTCTGGGTATAGATTTTGTTAATATTAATTTGTGTTTATTTATTTTAGATCCTGATAATGACTTTCAAAGAGGATCGCAATATAGAATATATTATAAAATACTAAACAAACGTTTAATTTTAATTTTGACAAAAAGGTGACCTGTAACCGGATATAAAATATATAGTAAATATTATTAAAAATCAACTTCAAAAATTTAATATTTAATTTATATTTTCAAGAAGATTATGTGTCAAGCAGACATATAGATAGAGAGATAAAAGAGCATTCATATGGTATATATAAGACTTATATATATATAAGATAAGAGTAGTATATTTACTTCACTGATTTACAAAACTTTTATAAAACTTGATATATCTTTTATAATTTATTAGAACCACTATATCGAACATAAATAATATTAAGAATAGACACTACTGATGACAGTTATTAGGTGATATCAGATATAGCTGTACAAATATTCAATAATTGTCAATAAAAATTGTACGTCCCTGTTGTCTCGTTATTTACAATAAATACAAGCATATTACAAAAATAGTATGCACTATATAAAATAAAAATTTGAAAATTATAGTTTACGTTTATTTACGTTTAATTTTTAAAAATTAAAATTTACGTTTATTAACAAAAGTAAATACAAAATCTTATGCACTCAAACAAAATCTATTTACAAGTTTATTACATTTACATTTAATTTTTCTTTTAGTTAACCACATTGGGAATTTCCACTGATTTTATTACGTATCCAATCATAGTAAAACAATGGACTTGCATGTACATCTGGTACACCGACTGCACAAGGATAGCCCCAGTTAACGAGACCAACGAGATAACCACCAGATACTAATGGTCCACCTGAGTCACCATGGCAGGCACCTTCACCTTCACGTGTAAATGTACACATATGACCGTAATCCAAATCAGGATCATAAAACAATTGTTCCAAACACTTATCATATGGCACATATTTGAGATAAACCTTTTGTAATTTATCTGGTGAACCGCCCCATAATACAGTTGAACCCCATCCAGTTAATATTACCTCATCACCTTCTTGCATTGGTTTTGTTTGCAATGGAACAGGCTGTGTTACGCTATCAAACTCAATGGAACTATTCAGCCGTAGTATAGCAATATCATTTGCCATTGAAGGTACATCATAATTGCAATGAGTGTGTATTTCGGTCACTTGATAAGTAGCACCAGGTTTCTTCCATTCATTAGTGCCAGTAACAACAACCATATCTTCCGGTTCTGAGCCAACAACACAATGTGAGGCTGTCAATACCCAATCCTTGTGGATAATTGCTCCACCGCAAAAATGACCATAGAATGGATCTTGAAGCGAAATTTGATAAGGTGCGAAACCAACCTCTGCAGTCTGACCACCAATAACGCGATTTTCAATGCGAAATCTAACAGTTTCCTTGTTTTTAATCCTTATGCCATTAGCATTTTGGGCAACCGCAACCAGTAGCAAAATCGCGATAACCTTCATGTTTGAAAATTTTTTTAGAAATTGATATTATTTTTCATATATCACATAATTTATATATAATTTTTTTCTTCTTTTATCTTTTATCGTATACTGTAAAATTGTTATGGTGGGCGAGAGTATTTTTATCATGACGATATCAAATTTTGCCTTTTAATTATGAGTGCAGGAAGGCATGAAGTCGGAGGAAAATTGTTAAAAACTTTATTGGAAGAATTAGGATTGTAAAACATTTATTTGAATTTTTAATTTATTTATTAAGCAATTATATTTTGGTCACATTCAATTATTTATATTATTGCTTATCAAATTGCATACTGAAACAGTAAAAGTCTCCCGTTGAATTTATAGAACTTTTGTTGAGTTAAGGAATAATGTTTTAAGTATGGAGTTTACACTGCACTTAGTAATTTTTTTTTAGTATTATTGGTATAAGCATGATCGAAACTCTCTAGAATGGACGCTCTTTGCAATGAATCTATTTACCAAAAACCATGGAAGATTTTTGAAACCCCTTAGAAACTTTCCACACTTTCAGTAATATATCCTTCAGTATGTTCACAAAAATGCTGAAAATAATTGGTACGAGAAACGAGATTCATGCAAAGATTTATTAATTAAAGAACAGATTTGAAATGTGCTATATGGACACATATTTATGGACTTTGAGAAAATGAAACTATGAATTACATAGCATACATACTATGAATTACAAGAGTCTGAATTTCGAATAATTATACAAAAAATTAACAAAAAATATAATGCAGACACATATATATCATATATGGATCATACAATATAAAACTTGTAATTACAGGACAGTTTAAATAAAATTAGCAACACGTACATTAAGACTGAAAAGTTTTCGGAAATTCTCATTTAAAATTCGCGCGCTGTATATTTTTCGATATTTTAAGTTTATGTAGTTTGGCAGCACTTTCCTTAATTACTATGCCAAAAATGAGCGCGATCTGTCAGACAGTTCGTTTACGGCAGCTGTTGAAACCAGTTCACCTCAGTAGTGCGTTGCTAAATGTCTTCGACGGTCGTACGACCGTCCTGAAAGGCTTTGTACCACTCATAAACTTGAGTTTTCGATAAAACTGATTCCCCATAAGCCTTTTGTAGCATTCGCAACGATTCTGCACACGAAATTTCGTTCGAAACACAAAATTTGATGCAAACTCTTTGTTCAATATTTTTTTCCATTGTTTTTTTCGCAACGCACTACTGAGGTGAACTGGTTTCAACAGCTGCCGTAAACGAACTGTCTTACAGATCGCGCTCATTTTTGGCATAGTAATTGTCCTTAATTGCTGCCAAACTACATAAACTTAAAATATCGAAAAATATACAGCGCGCGAATTTTAAATGAGAATTTCCGAAAACTTTTCGGTCTTAATGTATTATAACATCGGATTATAGTGCAGTTTTATAGGTATAAAGTTTTAGAAAGTATCCTATACTTCCTAGTATATAATATATATATCTAATATATCTATTTAGTATATAATACATATACATCTGATTTCTAAAAACCTACATAATTTTGTTGAAGTTCAGCAGTAGAAAGGCTGTGGTAATTAATAATCAATCTTATAACTTAACCAGATATGATTATGATTATGATTTCGTTCTAATATAAACACAGCAAGTAAAATTGTTAATAAAAACTTTCATAGTAATAGTAACAAAACTCCAGAAAAATATGCGAACAAAAAAGTCAAGTACGGCTTTGGATTAGTTGGTTAAGGTGCGCTGATTCTGAGCTTCACATTTGGCAGGACTTGGATTCCTGGTACTTGCAGTCTCAAAAATAATTGTTTACGAATAATTAAATACAATAATTATTTCCAAGATCACTGATGATGGGTATTTGGCAATACTCGAAACAGTTTTCGAGCTGTCCACTTAAAAACTGTCTACATTAAACTCTAATGATAATATGCATGAATATAAACAAACCTTGATCGAAAACCTTATTGACAATACATTTGATATATGAAAACAGTAGAAAAAGTTTTTACGTCTTACTAAATTAGAACTTGCTTTATAGATATAAGGTATAATCACAATATTAAGATTGTAATCCAATTATGCAATCAGAAAATTGCACAGAAAATATACATTATATAAAACTCTAGATATAGGTACTAAAGAAAAAACATGAATTTAATTTTAAATACAAGACCCACTTTTGCAAAGAAACAAAAAAAAATACAAGTTGTACCAGTATGTTAGATATATTTCAAAATAAGCAAGTAGTGATACTTGTAATCATGATCGCCTAAATTGATCTTGAGTAATCTTAATAGCTTAATAAACAAATGACGATATATAGATATAGA